ACTTTTGTTCGTGTGGTGGTGTTTCTTGTCTAGTTTCCACTTATACACAAATATCAAGTAGAACCATTTTTGCAAAATATATATTCTTCGAGAAGATTGTGGAATGATAAACTGTAATTTGAGGCTATATAGTAGCAATTAGTAAACATGTTTCATCCCTTCTTGTCAAACCAACATGTTGTTTAATTTTTAGAAAAAAAAAAAAGTTGATGTTTAAGTATACGTTTGATCTTTTTTTTTTTTTTAAATATGGTCCAATCGGAACCGGCTTATCAGGTCATAGTGGACTTGGAAGGCAATGACCCGTTAACCTTCCACCGTCAAGAGCGGGAAGTGAACGGTGCTATGTGAAACAAGCCATTCCAGGAGCCACGTAACCCGAGTCTTTGCTCAAACCACGTGTCTCAACTCCCAATTTGGAATGGGCGGGCCAAATAATAGCCCAACCCGAATCTAATCCAATGAGATAACTCAACGTCCCAACGCTTTACTGTCTCCACTCGGATCATAAATCGACGTTACTGATCTATCTTTTCTAACATAATTTATTGTATTATGATACTTTTCTAAAAATAAATTAGCTCGAATAAAATTAAGAATAGTAAATCATGAGTATATGTAACCTTTGTATATTAATCGAGAAACATAATATACAATCAATCAAGAACTAACTATGAACGTCGTATTTGGTTTTCAACTACAATAGTTTTAGTTTTTACTGATGTTGATTTATATGTTGATAAACTTTTCATGCTAATACAATTTATAATTAAATTACATCTATCTTACATATTTAATTATTGGAAAAAAGATTAGATTCAACATCCACTAAAAGACAGTACAAACACAACAAATATGCAACGATTCTACTGTATAAGGTGGATGACATATTTGCTTCACAAATCTCGTCCATTTTACTGTAGTGGTTTATTCTATTACGTATTATTTTTCTAAGAGTTTCCTTTCTCTAATATACGTGAATGGCAAATTTAGTATTGGATCAGACTCTTCGTCTTTGAACCGTCGTTTCGCACGCTCCCCATTCAAGGCCTAACATTTAGACAACTATAATATATTTGTTGATAGATAAACTTCGCTAAGTTTGTAACGAAAACGAGATCATATTGTATTGTATGACTAAACTACCCCTTAAAAGACGATAGGCATGACCATTAGGTATTTGTTTTTTTCTTCTAAATGGATTCCTACGTTTATTTTTACTAGCCTGAAATGTTTTAAGCATTATGGATTTGGCTATACTTTTTTCGATTCTATTATGCAATTATTAACCAAAAAAGTGAAATTTATTTTGATACACTTTTATTTCCCCGGATAAAATGAATATAAAAAGATGGAAAAAACAATTTGGGTAAAATTAAAGCTATTTAATCGGTATGTGATCGCGTAAGGATTGAATATATAAGACTCGTATAGTAAATTCTCTCAAACTTTGAATTCGTTTTTTCTTGCGAACAACCAAACTCCGTGTTTCGGATTTTGGCATGAATTCTTGAACATGGTGAACTTATATAGCAAAGGGACTTGTTCACCTTCAAAATAGTCGGACATGATCCAAACGCAAACACTAATTAAAAAAAAAAAAAAACGAAATACTTGTTAATCTAATAAAAACACTAATTAAAAAAAAAGAGTAATTTACTTGTTAATCTAATAAAAACAAAAAGTCGATTATTACAAAATACTTGTATAAAAAAAACTTCTTTTTTTTGTTGGTCATAAAAAAAAAATTAGATAATTGTATAGATTGGGCTTGAGAGTAGCAAATGATTACTTGGGAGATAGTGCAATGCATTTGATTGATGTGTGAATAAATGATAGTATGTGTGAATTTATGGGCAAATGAAACTGGAAAACGAAAAGAGAGAGAGAGAGCATAATGAGTTAACGCAGACATAGCCG